TTTTTAATTTTTATTTCAAAAATCTTCAACAACCACATACTTTCTGGAAATCATCCAGGCATGAATTACACACACACACACACACACACACACACACACACACACCCACCCCTGTTTCTTGTTCAAGAACTTAGTGGAAAATCATCTGCTAATACACATGGGATATCAATCCTCTGTAATAATCACAATTTTTATATGTTTGCACACAAGTTAAATTCTTGAAAGGAGCGTACAGACCAAAGCTCCTCCCCAACAACCCAGAACTCAGGTAGGGCGTCTTTATTGCCACTGCCACTTGAGCTGGCTGAACCTGGATACACAGATGCAAATTCAGCGTTCATGATTATCACAACAAAACCAGCAAGATTAATTCACCATCTAATAGTGTTCACTGACAACTGACAATAACAAAGGTCTACTCAGCAGTCATTGTGATAACTTATTTGTAATCCTATTACTGTGCTCTTTCAATTCCTGAACAGCTAAAAAGTGCATTACAGAGGAAAAAACCTTAACAAACCAAACAACACACACTGAACTCTTCCCTCCTTCCCTGCAAACAGAACCTCCTGTGTGCTCAGGTGCTATTCTGGATTTTTGTGCTGCTCTATGGGGTAACTTTCAGCAAACCACTTACCACCTTCGGTTTCTTAGGGTGGCTGTTTACACTCACTCTCCTCTATAAAAAGTTCCATCATCCACAGAYGCAATGCACAAGAAAACATCTACTGTTTATTACTACTAAAACAAGGTGGTTAGGTAASAGACAGTCTAAATACGTGACAAAAGTTTCTTTATTTCAAAAGTTTTGTATCTATGTTCTTCCCCCAACTATCTCTCCTTTTAAGGAAATAAAGTTATTTTACAGATGATGCAGAGAGAAGTTAATAGCTGCTGATTCATTATGTTATGCTGACAAGGCATGAACAAGCATTTTCATGCTTTTTTCTTCATCTTTACTTCAAAAAGACTTTAAAGGAGCAAAGTGATTAAAACTAATAAAAAGCAACTCTAGTTCATAAAAGCAATCCTTTAGCCTCTTAAGAGGAAGGACTCATCTTCAGATGATCCTAACTGAAATTCTAAATTGTACTCATGTTATTAGTCTAAACATCTGGATGGCACTGACATTGTTCACAGCCTAATTACATAAATAAACTCTTAAAAAAAAAACACATTATGCTTCTATAACATATTCTTAYCCCAGCACTTGGATTCTTGTCAAGTCATAAGTGAGAGGGGAAAMAAAACAAACCAAAAAACCCACACCCCATACAGGAGTGAAGAGGCACAGCAAGTCATAGGTCTGCACTGAGACCCTTAATTTGTTTTCCAGGTGTTATGCCTT